GACCCTTTGCTATAGCCTTACTTTTGTACATGTTTCTTGTATGTGCTGCCCCATGAGCCTATGTTAACTAAGTGCTGTAGGTTAGAATGACCTCTTTGTTAAGCATAAGCTGACTGCTCATTTGTGATTGCAAGTTCCCAGCAGCCAGAGTTTTAAAAATCAGATTTCCCACTACAATTTGTGTAATTAATGAAGTGCCAAAGTTAGCTCTATTGATACCTCCTACTTTGTCCCTTCTATAGTTCTGTTATGTGAATCTATGCATTATCCCCTAAGCCTAAGTTAACATTCTACTTTAGCTGGGAAGAGCCTTTTTGTCAGCAAAAATTAGCTTCTCTGGTCGTCTGTGTATTTGGAGCCTGTCAGGAAAGTGCCTTTCCCAAGCCACTTTTAATGCCACAATTTGCATAAATAATAGTTAAGTGATGCCACAGATGGCATCTGTTAACACCTCCTGCTCTTGCCAAAAGAAGGAAGTAAGCTACTTCTTTTTGGTCAGCAAATTTTGCTAATGCTGCCTGCAGTATGAACAAGAGGAGCTACCAAACACATTAAAAATAAGTGCAGAACTAAGTAGATACTTACATTCAGAGAATTGCCACAAAGATAAAACCAACTCCTTATTACTCAATTTCTTAAAAAGCAAGCATCTTTTATACAGTAATGCTTAAAAGTTTGTAAGTCCTTTTGAATTTTTAATATTTTTACCTAAATATGATCTAATATTAAACAAATGAGTCAAAAACATACTTGTTAATTCATGTGGAAAAGATCACAGTTTATGTTGTTTATGCAGAAATACTGAAAGTTCAAAAGGATTCACAAACTTTTAAGCACCACTGTATTTTATTATTTGTTAAATTTATTTGCAGCCTAACTCCTACTCTGGGAGAGGGACAAGAGGAGTACAACCTGGTTCAGTGTCTTAGACATCTCTTCAGTACTACTGACCACGATATCTTTTGTGATAGAAAAACCTTTTAGGACAGAACCATTCTAGTTCTACTTTTGCTTGAATGGCCAGTTAGAGAAGATGGTGCTGAAGGATTACTGATTTGCATTGTGACTACGATTAGGACTGTGATTATGTTTAAGACTGTATTATTTTTAACATCTACATGATGTAGGAGGTTATCAAGAACAGGGTGGAGTGTCATCAAATATGCAGGTGACACCCAGCTTTAGTTTTCAACCTCATCTAATATAGATGAAACAGTAGAAGTTCTGAATCAGCGCCTGGGGAGATGAGAGCTTATCAACTGAGATTCAGTTCAAAGAAGATGGAAAAAATCATTTTTGTGAGTGATTTGCCCGTCCAAGTAAGTGATGATTATCCTGCTCCAAAAGTAGTTCTGCTTTACTTAAAGAATGGATGTTACCCCAGGAGCTTGAAGCACCCTTTATCAGCTTAAACTGATATACCAACTCTGTCTCTAACTATACAGAGTTATAGAACAATTGTTCATATTCTGTTAAGTTTCCATATTGATTGTTGTAATGTATTATATGTGGGACTGTTTTAGGAAATGATCCAGAATCAACAACTTCAAAGCATGGCAGTTAAACTGCTGACTAAAACTATTCAATCTAATTTCCATTGCACTTGCCATCTGAACTTCTCAGTCAGTAATTCAAAAATTCCACTATAATTATAATTAGCAGCAGCAGCAGCAGTAGTAGTTAGATTTCTCAGCCGTTTTTCTCTAGGAGCCAACAGTTGAAATGTCTTACACAAAATTAATCTTAGTTGCCTCTATATGAGATGGAAGGCACAGAAGTCTAATCAATAAAATGAATAATAAAATTATGTGAAGCAATATTTCCTCCCATATTCATGAATTAGGATACCCAGAACTTTACTTCAAGCAGAAAGAAAGTCTTTTGATTGTAGCATGTTGTCGGTGAACACTGGTGTTGCATTATTGTTTTTGGAATATTAGACAAAGGCCTTTTTTATTTTTTTTCAGGTATAGTATTTTAAAAGCCATTTTAATGGATTAGAATGTTCAGTGCTTTTTTTGTTAAAAAAAGATGCCGTAACTCACACACGTCATACAACCCGCCTTGCCTACCCTACAAGGTTTACCTTTGTAGTTGAAAAAAAAACCTTTAATTTTTAGTGTATCTAAAAGACTAGGATTTTGTTCAGGTTAAGTTAATTCTATTAATGTTACCATGCACCGTGTGGCTTTAATTACAAGAAGTCATTTTATTACTCTTTTGAGACATTTACCATTGGCATATCGATTTAGTTTAATGAGTGGAAATGTCAGCTTTCTATGTGGAATGAAATTGACCCAATAAAACAAAATTTGGTTGCTTGTAAAAGATTGAATTATTTTTAAGAAGTTGTCAAATAAGGTGGAAAAATTTACATGTGGAGTTTAATATGGATATTGACTTGAAACAAATTAAAGTTGAAACTTTGTCAGTGAACAGATTACTTTTAATTTACCTTTAAGTTAAACCCAATTTAATAAATAGATCTGATTAACCCTCATACTGTAGGGCTACCTTTACATCTGACCAATACATAATTAATATATATTACTATTAATAATAATAATAATACCTCCAAATCATAAGACATTGGCTTTATTCTTATTCTTCCTCTCTGCAGTTTGAATATAAAGTATAAAAAACTAAAAATATATTTTCGTAGACATCCAAGCCAAGGAACCGAAATAGCAAAGTTTCGCTGTCCGGCAAGCTTCCACGCCAGTCGCCTTCCTTGCCTCTCGCTTTGCCTTTTTTTAACCTCACACCTCACCTTCTTTACGGGAAGGCAAAAGGCTCACTCACCCTCTCATGAAAGATGGCCTCCATGTTTATGCTACCATTGGCTTCCACATCACATGGTCCGACCCAGCCAATCAAGCCACGCTCTGGCTGTGGTGCTCCGGTGCCTCATGGCTCCTCATAGAGGAGGCAGACAGCACCGGAGGGGATCCCACTCACACTGTACCACCAGCGGGGCATTTTCAAAAACAAATGATAGAAAAGGAAACAATAGGAAAAGAATGCAACTCTGGAAAATCCATTGAAAAAAGGTGTCGTTCTATGACAAAAAAAGCCCTGAGAATGTTAGTGTTCTAATTGCTATTTTATCACTGTGATTTCATGCTGTATTCATTATCATTATTGATGCTCAAAATAGACTTTACTGACAGGATCATTGTTTATAACTACCTCAATGGATTGATCACAATATATAACTTAAGAAACATGATAACGTCATACTTGCTTATTTATTTATTTATTTATTCTAATTTTATGCTATGCATCAAAAAGGTCTCTGCAGTGTAAAGTCAGTGAGGCCTACTATAAAAAGCAAACATTTATAAATGCTTATAATGTTTGTAAACATATTATAAAATATATAAAATATTGTACAAACTATTTAAAAATACAAAATAGTATTACAAATTAGATAAAAACAAGCATCAGTAGCGTGAAAGTGCAACACTGCTTTGGACATTCCAACAAAAGTGGAAAGAATCTGTGGATGTTGCTTTCTGGCAGGGTGTGTTTACTTCTGCTTCCAGTCTTGTTAATAGAGTCTGTCTCTGTTGTGAGCAATCTATAACAAGTTATCAAGTGGAAGTACAAATACATTGCAATAGAAAGGTGATTGAATATCTGCCTTGACAAGTGCTTCTTTCAAGGCTGGATGTGGTAGAGCATTACTATATTAGAGTAGGGACTAGAGGTATTTGTAATAGGAAGATGTGACAATGTCTCCAGAGTCTTGCTTTATTTTATTATATTATATTATATTATATTTATTATATTATATTATTATATTATATTATATTTTTATTTTATTTTTATTTTTTTAAAAAAGATTAGAATAGTGAGTCCTTGGCTCAACAATGCTAGGAATTGATGCGATCCTCTGCTATCCCCCAAGAAGCTTACATGAAGATTTCAGTGAGGTCTCTGACATCAGAACTCTTAAAATATTTTTTTAATCTTTTCCTTGAGATGTGTCTTTACATTTCCATGGAATTTTATTTTTATCTAGGATTTTGTACCTTCTATTTTTAGCTTTTGTATTTCTTTACTACTTATCCTGAGAAAGCTCAAGACAGGATATAAATATCCTAAATAAATAAATCAGTTAATTCCCTTTCATGTCTGAATTGTATGAAGGCATATCGTTTCGATAAAAGGACTGTGGGACTGTGCTGCTGACTTGAACCCCAAGTATGCCTAACGGTTGGATCCTATTTTTAGTATTAATGCTTTAACCATGGAAGTTTATGCATCTGTAAGTTTTATGTAAGAATGATTTCAAATCTGTCAGATTGATGAGGTCTTCTGGGAAATATTATTAAAAATAAATACTGTTTGCTGACACTTTTAAAAAAAATTTAATTATTTTTCCCCTAATATTCCTAAACAAACACTAATGGTCATGATATAAAAGAGAACTGCTTGTTATGGATCAGTTAGTAGATAAAAGATATAATGCACAGAATAGAAATAAATAATTCTGAGAATGATTGTAGGAAAGAAGGTTTGGACTTTGCTCTGGGGATTTCCATATGTATCTAGACAGTATGGGAAACAGTTCAAGCTTCGTCACATCTAGCTGGACCAGTGTTTCTCAACCTTCACAACTTTACAATGTATGGACCTCAACTCCCCAAATTCCCCAGCCAGCCATGCTGGGAGTTGAAGTCCACATATCTTAAAGTTGTGAAGGTCAGAAACACTGAATGTAATTATTCTGTATGATACACATTACTGAATATTGCATTGTATATTATGTATTTATAAAACAAAAAATACAATTTCAGCAATGATATAGTTGTATCTTCAATAGTGTCGTTAACCTATACCGTTGTTTCAATGACTTTAATCTGAATACAAGTTGAATAGTTTTTTTCTTAGAAGGTAAAAGATTCTATAAAGTAGTGAACCTTATAGAAAGAAAAAAGCTATAGCTTTCTTCAGTTGAATGTTGGTAATAAATTTCACATTTTTGTATTCTGCAGGTTAGAAAAGATTTGGAAATTGGTCTGACAGAACAATCATGATGGGATTAAGGAATTCAACTGCCTTGCCTGGTGGTCTTCTTCTTTTAACTGTTGCACTTTTGCTATGTCATGTGGACAAAGTACATACAGAACATCAACCTGAAGAAACCAATTATACAAAAATATGTTCTGGTTCCTATATCTGTAAGAAAGGTATAATTTTGCCAATTTGGGAACCTCAAGATCCTTCATTTGGTGATAAAATAGCAAGAGCTACTGTATATTTTGTGGCCATGGTCTACATGTTTCTAGGAGTGTCTATTATAGCAGATCGTTTCATGTCATCCATAGAAGTTATTACATCCCAAGAGAGAGAAATAACAATCAAGAAACCCAATGGTGAGACCAGCAAGACAACAGTAAGAATTTGGAATGAAACTGTTTCGAACTTAACACTGATGGCTTTGGGCTCTTCTGCACCTGAGATCCTCCTATCTGTCATTGAAGTGTGTGGCCATGGCTTCAAGGCAGGAGACCTTGGGCCAAGCACTATTGTAGGAAGCGCTGCCTTTAATATGTTTGTCATTATAGCCATTTGTGTTTATGTTGTCCCTGATGGAGAAATCAGGAAGATTAAGCATCTTCGTGTGTTTTTTGTGACTGCAGCTTGGAGCATTTTTGCCTATACTTGGCTGTATTTAATTTTGTCAGTTATGTCACCTGGAATAGTAGAAGTCTGGGAAAGTTTGCTCACTTTCTTCTTTTTTCCTATCTGTGTGGTGTTTGCATGGGTTGCTGATCGAAGGCTTTTATTCTACAAGTATGTCTACAAGAAGTACAGAGCTGGAAAGCAGAGAGGCATGATAATTGAACATGAGGGTGAAGGGCCACCATCTAAAGCTGATATTGAAATGGATGGAAAGATAGTTAATTCCCATGTTGAAAGTTTCTTGGATGGCACTCTGGTCTTAGAGGTGGATGAGAAGGATCAAGATGATGATGAAGCAAGGAGAGAAATGGCTAGAATCCTGAAGGAATTGAAACAGAAGCATCCAGACAAAGAGATTGAACAGCTAATAGAATTAGCTAATTATCAAGTTCTGAGTCAGCAACAAAAGAGTCGCGCCTTTTATCGTATTCAGGCTACTCGGTTAATGACTGGAGCTGGCAACATATTGAAGCGACATGCAGCTGACCAAGCACGAAAAGCTGTCAGCATGCATGAGGTCAACTGTGAGGTGGCAGACAATGACCCTGTCAGTAAGGTCTATTTTGAGCAGAGCACCTATCAGTGCCTTGAGAACTGTGGCACAGTAGCTCTAACAGTTGCCCGTCGAGGTGGTGATTTAACCAAAACAATCTTGGTTGATTTCAGAACAGAAGATGGCACAGCCAACGCAGGGTCTGATTACGAGTTCACTGAAGGGACAGTGGTATTTAAGCCAGGTGAGACACAAAAAGAAATAAGAGTTGGCATAATTGATGACGATATATTTGAGGAAGATGAGAATTTCCTTGTTCACCTCAGTAATGTGAAAGTGTCAGAACAATCTGAAGAGGGCAACCATCTTGCAACTATGGCTTGCCTGGGATCACCTGCTACAGCCACAGTTACAATCTTTGATGATGATCATGCTGGCATATTTACTTTTGAGGAACCAGTCACTCATGTAAGTGAGAGTGTGGGGACCATGGAGGTGAAAGTGCTACGGACATCTGGAGCTCGAGGAAATGTTATTGTGCCATACAAAACAATTGAAGGCACAGCCAAGGGAGGCGGAGAGGACTTCGAAGACACCTGTGGAGAGCTTGAATTTCAGAATGATGAGATTGTGTAAGTAGTACTTAACCTTTTGTGGCTTATAAGCATTTGTTATCTTCCCTATCTGATAAAATATTCTATTCAAAATACTTTATAATTAATGCTGCATCAAAAGCGGAAGACTCTTACAGAGTGACATTACTTTAAAATGTAGCCCAAAATGTAGCTGTTTGACTGTCTTGAAGATTTCTTGTGTGTCATGAAATAGTATATATATGAAATAGTGCTATCAAAAGGAGTGAATTCTGAATATGCAAATATAAACAAAAGCATGTCTTGCATTGAAAATACACATGACTTCATCACCCTTTCAGATATTCTAGTCATTATTAACTGAGAGTAATAAAAAGCGGCACGGAAAATTGTTGTTTCCTTTTGTAAGCACAGACATTCCTTGAACTCATCTTGTAGTCAGGAAGGCTTTATATTCAGAACTAGCTTAGGATGGGTCTGCTATTTACAAAAAACAAAACAAAACAAACAAAAAAAAAACACCAGCCTATGACTAATAAATAGAGTTAGGTTGCAAGTTCAGAGAGGGTTGTAATTAGCCTTTGTGATATTATGAAATATTTATGGTTTGCACTTTGAAGTGAATGTTATCACGTGGGGGAAAGTCCAATTAGGCAAGGCGGCCAAGTTTGACAGTTTACAAAAATGAAAACAGTTAAAAAGGAAGCATTGCTGATAAGCATTTCCTGGCTACTAGGAATTTTTTCTGTGCTCACTCTTTCCCCATGTATGTATGGAATTCATACACACAAATACACACATCTTTTCTCAGTTGCTACTTTTGCCTGTGTTCTCATAAAGAAAAAAATGCTAATGTATAGTTGTTTAGGTTGTTGTTTTGCTCAGGCAATGGCAGCCAAGTTCAAGCCTCCGTTTAATCATGAAACTTACTGGGTAACTGTGGGCCAGTTCAAACTATCTTATAGCATGGCTGATAATGTTAGAATAAAAAAGGCCAAAGTCCTAAAGCCATTTCTTTGTTATGAGTAGAGGGAAGGATATATATACTTCATTCCAAAGCTTACCTAACTTTAACAAAATAGATGGACCATTTAAATTGATTCTGTTTGCTTGAAGCCTAACATGGGCAGGTCATAATCTCAACACATAGTTTTAACACATGAAACATATGTGATGAATCCAAGGAAGTTTTGTTTAATTCTATCCCGTTGAGCCACATTAAGCCGTGAGTGTATAGAATCTCTCTCTCTCCCTCTCTCTCTCTCTCTTGCTCTCTCTCTCTCTCTCTCTCTCTGTGTGTGTTTATGTATATGTATGCCACAGAGCAATGAACAGAGCCTTTGATTTTCTTCCTGAATGCATAATGTATCAGTGAAATACGATGTATAAGGGCATTTGCAATAGGAAATTATGTAATATTTTAAAACATTACCCTTCCTGTATTCTTAAGCTTGAATTGTGTAGAAAGAAATAAAAAGAGCAACAATCCTTTGTATTCTAGAAAATACAAAGGAAAAACACAATACCAGGATGTAAAAGTATTACATTATAAACAAATTGAGATAGATGTTTCTGCTTATTAAGCAGAGTGCATATAAAATGCAGTCTTTCTATGATCACTGAGGAGTGTTAGGATGGCAGAGCATCTTTGTAAGCACTAATCTTTAATCTCGGGACTTGTCAGCTGGCTCAGTGAATCTGTGCTTCATTTTTTATTAAAGATGTATGATCTTTTATCAGATGTAAATTAAAAAATGTCCTCTAATCTTTTTGAAAAGAAAAAAGATAGGGAAAATAGTAAGACTAATAGTAATACTTTCTGTAACTTTATGAAAGATTAGCTGCAGATTACATTCATTAAAGTTATCACTGTGGTTTTAGCAGTTAAATGGGAAAGTAGGAAAGAAAATGATATCCATCATAATGAGGCATATTAAGAGATTTTTGCTAGCTAACAAAACTCATTTTTCAAAATAAACAAAAATTGTGAGTCTGAAGTCACATCTTATTTGCTATGATTTCATACTGTCATGGATAACTTTAACATTATAAAGAACAGCTTTATGCAATTTTCTGTTGAGGAATTCTGGGAACTTGAGTTCGAATATACATGTTGAATACCAGATTGGAAAGACTGAAATAGAGTACTGTAACTACAGAATAATTTAAATAGATTTAATTGCAACTTTTCCAGTTCAAAATTATGCCCACCATGGATACTGTATAAGTTTGGATTATGTTGTAGCGGTGCTACTTTTTCAAAAAAATATTTTCCCCAAAATAAAATACAATTATACAGAATGAAAAAAATAGATGACAAAACAAAAATTACAGACATGACACAAAAAAGGAAAAATATAAAATTAACAATAAAAATACAAGCTCCACCCTAGTTGAATGCTGATACCTTTTATCTCACACAACCTAATTTGTTCCCTTGCATTGTGGACCTACAAATAGTTATACATTATTGTTACTTACTAAATTAATATTTTACATCACATTCTCTTAACAAATATCTCAGATATACAAATCTATTATGTATCACATGCATCAACCTAATACCTCTTCATTATAAAAAAGCTGTTAATTGTTAACCCCAAAAAATATATTAAACTTCGAAGCCCTTTGTTAACAGTCCATTATGTAACTTGCAGAAACTCCACAGCTTCCAGAAACTCTTATAAAAACTTATCCAAACCATTGTCTCTAATCAACACACTTAATTTTGCCATCTCTGCCATTTCAAAATCCATTCTTCCACTGTTGATATTCCTTTTTCTTTCCAAAATTTGGTATTCCTTTTTCTTTCCAAAATTTGGCATACACAGTTCTTGCAGCTGTCACCATATAGAAAAATAAAATTCCAAACTATTTTTCTGTCGCTTTATCAATAATACCTAAAAGAAATGTTTCAGATTTCATTAATTGTTGTGCTTTAAGTATTTCCTGTATAACCATTATTATATTTATCCAATATGATTTAGTATGATATGATTTATCACCACATGTGATAAAATTTACCTGGAGTTTGATTATATTTTCAACATTTATCTTTTCAGTAAACTTTCAGGAAGCAGCTGCTCCACTTCATGTCTTTCCTATACATTGGAGGCGGTGCAGTGCTTTCCCAGAAATGGGTGCCATTTTGGGAATGGCTGCAATTGATTGTGTCTGCTCCAAAATGGTGCCCATTTCCAGGACAGTGCCAGAGGGGCCTACTCACTGCTCTGGGAGTCGGAGGGGTGGAGTAGCCTGCTCTTCCAAAACTGCTTCCCAAAGAAGATGTACTGAAAGCTACTGAGCCCTGCAGAAACCAAGGAATGGGAAAGCAGGCCCACGGTCTATGGAGACCCAATGGGACTAGAAGCAGAACCTTAGGTGCCTCAGGCAAGGGAGGCTTGGGCCAGGCCATGTGTGAACTGGAAAGGTGCTGCAATGTGGGCTTGCCCTATGCTAGGCCTCCCAGGGCCTCCCCTACATCTGAGGCACCTTATGCTCTCCGCAATGGAGAGGGCAGGATTCGGATTATTAAACAAAGGCAATCATGGGGATACCTCGCTGAATGACTGTCACGACTTGCAATCATTACAATTTTATGTCAAGGACTACCTGTAATTCAGAGTGGATTTCTTTTTCTCCCTGATTTGTGCTTTGCTGGTGTTATTTGTTTTGAAATTTGTGTTATGCTTATTTTACATCATATACTTCTTCTGTGGATATACGTGTGTATATTGAACTTAAAATTATTCATCAGGGTTTGGTAATTGTGGTAGCCTGTTTTCTTCTTTCATTTTTAAAATTTCCGCTTGAATGTGAGAAGTTTCGAGGTTCCAATAAATCAGCTTTGTACACCTCTGAACTTGCTCATCAAGAATTTGACATGAGAAAGAGTAATATGTTTGCATCTTAAATGTTAATACTGCTCCAAATGGAAGAAGGAAATCTAATCTCTTGGAAGGATAGGGCCACTACTGAAAGGTGGAAAACAGATTTCATCAATTTCACCTCCTATCCACTGTCTGCTTCCATAAGCAAGAGAATCTTTCAAAATAGCATGGGAGGGATGTCAAAGATGGAAGACAGAATAGTTAACACTAATCCTGTCCTTCCCTTTTAAATAGAAACTTTCCTTGTATTTTCAGTCTCTCTGTGGTTTGATGGAACCCTCCGGTTTATTTACTGTGGATCCAAACCATTATATCCGTATCACTCATGAATGATGGAGGTAGCAATAATGATATACTTATTTGTGTACTGCTTTTAAAGAATGATCTAAAGGCATACTGTATGTTAGTTTATGTTATAGGCCACTATTACTGCATCAAAATTACAGTTATAATGGTTTTTAAGAGTAAGCTGTTGAAGAAGAAAACTACTGACTACCTTTCTATTTATATTGTAAAAATAGTGATCAACCACACACAACTGGATTATGGTATAAGATTCCTTTAAACTTCCTCTGATATCATATCATTTAGTATATGCATATAGCCATAGCACTTTCTGCTAATTCCATGACATGTCACATTAAACTGGATTAATTTCAATTTTCTGAAGTAGTTTTTAAATAGATTTTTCTCAAAATTCTTTTATCTCAAACCTCAACCATTTTTTTTATTGTGGGCACTGTTTCATTACTACAGGCTTAAATTTTAAATTTTCTCCCCTTTTTTTTCCTTCCCCAATTTTACTCCTTTGTGCTATAATATTTTATAATTATATTTCCTTTAAAACTTAAAAAAATATTTGAAAAAAGTTTAACTCATGTTTGAAAGCATGGAGAAGCTTCCCGGAGATACGCTGGGCAGAATTATTTTTTAGAATTTTGCCATTTTTCTACCAGGCTCCACAACTGCATTGTGTTTATGCATGTAAGATCCTGAATTTAGGTGCCGTTCTTGATGTAACACAGACAAGTATACAATATGTCATGCTTTACAGCTTCTTGTGTTATCATACTGTCAGCTTCGCAACTTTATTCAAAACAATGAAAAGTAACATTTCTCATTTGGATATATTAAATTATTATTACAATG